ATACAATGTAACATCATCTTGTGAAACCCTAATGTAAGCAATGAATCGTTCAACATCTTCATTGTCGGTTAACAAATAAACTTTACCATTTCTCTGATAAGATAGCCTAAATCCACTTAGGGGCTCTAAATTCAATTTATTTGAAACACGTAGCATTAGAGTTTCATAAGTTAACTTTTGTAAAGACAATTTTAGTTGAAGATTCATGGGTAAAGGCATATATTGTAAAACACCATGAACATTATCCCATGACCCTCCAAAACACAAATCTATCCAAACATGATCAACATTAGATGATTTCATGGTTGTAAATTAATTTACTAAACAGACGAGCTGCGAAACTAAAACCTGTTGTCGGATTGGGAAGGATGTCGTTGGATATAGGAACGGATGTCGCCGGAGAGAGTGATAGATGGAGATGGAATGAGTTGCGATTTAGGGATTTAGTTTATGATTTCAGTGTTATATACCCAAAATTTCAGTGTTGTGATTTACAGATTCTCGTTGCGATTTACGGATTATCGTTGCGATTTACAGATTCTCGTTGCGATTTACGGATTATCGTTGCGATTTACGGATACGCGTTGCGATATACGGAAACGCGTTGCGATTTACGGATACACGTTGCGATTTACGGATACGCATTGCGATTTATGTGTTCGCGTTGCGATTTTCATATTCGCGTTGCGATTTTGAAAAATCGCAATGCGAATTTGACTATCGCATTGCGATTTTCAAGAATCGCGTTGCGATTTTGGACACTGATTTGCGATTCTGGGGATCGCGTTGCGATTTTTATTTCGCGTTGCGATTTTGTTGGTCATTTTGGCAAATCCAAAAAAAGTTGGTTAAAATCGTATATTATAACTTTTTTTTGGTCACTGAGGCGATTTTCTCAATTAATTTTAGACATTGTTTTGGCATTTAATTTTTACATTTGACATCGATTTGTTTCAGAATTCATAAGTGAAGTAGGCCAATCTGTTTCGGAAAACATCAACTCTCCTATTTATGGAGTTTACCTCTCGATTGAGTTGTTAAATTAAGAGTAAATTATACATTTAGTATTTAAATTATTATTTGTGTTTTATTTTAATATTTAAATTTTATTTTTTCAATCCTATTTAATTTTAATTTCAATTTTTTAAAATAGTTTATATACTAACCGCATAATTTACCTTAAAATTAAATTATGATTCTTCTTTGTTTTAAATAAACAGGTTTAATTGCATCTATCCGTGAAAGCTCAGGCCATATCGTGGAATGGGTGAATAAGTATGTTCTTTCCCTTCCAACTCTGTCAGAGCTGCGCTAGCACTCTAATTATAACTAGAGATGATGGTACGATTTTATATTCATAATAAATTTAAAATTAAGAGGATAAATATATATTATCAATGATATACTCGTAAATTCTTTAGAATGAATACCTGTTTATTTAAATTTGATTTTTTTCAAAAATTTTATATTATTGATAAGTATTTATATAATCAATTTCAAAAATTTTATATTATTGATAAGTATTTATATAATCAATTTATATTATAAATTTAAGTCATTCGAATTCTATTTTATAACTCCACTCAAAATTGATTTTTTTTATTTAAGTTGAGTTTATAGTTATCTGAAATTAATTCTAATTAAATAGAATAGAAAAAATCAACTTTGTTTTTGAGTAATTTGCTCATCATCCGTAGGTGGAAGATATCCCTTGTGTGTATATATATATATAAGAAATAGACAGTTGGATAACAACCATAGTTCTGGATATTGATTCCCCAAAGTATCGCATTACTTAAATTTTATATTATAAAGTACCACTAAATCAGTTAAAAGATAAATGAATTATTTATTACTTATACCGCTGATAACGACGAATTCTTTCTTTACTTAAAAAAAATATTTATTGCTTTTCCATGCCAATTTCATTGAAAAATAAATAAAACCACCAAATGATCAAATATGAATAAAACTATATAATTATATTAATTAGTTTCTAAAAGAATAAATAAATAAATAAAAGGGCTGAAAATATGGCAGTCTGAAGGTCTACGCATGGAAGATACGGAGCATTTTTGTTGTTTTCCGCAAAGCAGCGTTTTATATAAGGAGTCGAGCAATGCGTAAAGCCCTCATCAAACCATCTCAAAAGAAACAAGTAGAAGCAACCCTTTTTTCAATTCAGCCTATATTTCTGGGCGTAAATCTTTTATCTGGCCCCATAAAAGCTTTGTTTTTTAGTTTTGGGTATTATTTCTTTTAGTTTTCATCTCTAGATCTGAAAGAGAAAAAATCGTTTTTCTGTTGAAGATTTCGAGGGTGTTTTTCGTTCGAATTTTCAGTGAAAATGGAGGTTTCACTAATGAGTTCTTCACAGGCAAAAATTTGTAAGACAGAATTGGGGTGCAAAGATTTAAGGTCTTGTTTTGGGAAAACTAATGATCAAAATAAATTATTTTCTCGGATACCAAACAGTGTTTATTTTTCTAATCAAATTTCGAGGTTGAGAAAAACCGGGATCAGATTTTCGGCGAAGGCTGTTGATTCTGAACCCATTCTTGAGACCAAGTCTTCTACAAGCTCCAAATCTGTAAGTTTCACTTCATTTTCTTCCCTCAAATTTGAGTAGTTTTTGTTCTTTTTATTGTTAAAAAGGGGAGTAGTAGTTGATTTGCTTGTTTAAAATTGATAAAGCTGCGAATATTTAAGCCGACTGTGGAGGATTTGTAGCTCTGTTTTGGGTAGATTTTAGATAATAAAAACAAGTTGTCTTGGTAGTAAATTGTTTGGTTTAGTGATGCTTGTCCTTGAAGTGTGAAGAATTTTTAATACAGAGATAACTTTCTGTTTTGGCATATCAATAGTTACATCTTAGTTTAATAAGCTTGTTTTAGTGATCGATTTAAGGTATTTTGATTTATATTTATATTATTTGCATTTTAGTTGAATTAATAAACAACAGTATGTGTTTATGCTGATTGTAGCAAATTTTGCTTTTCATTTTCCAGCTTGATAGGTTAAGACTATTTGTCGGTCTGCCTCTAGATACGGTTTCTGACGGCAGTACGATAAACCATGCTCGGGCAATCGCCGCAGGATTGAAAGCTTTGAAGCTTTTGGGTGTGGAAGGTGTTGAATTGCCTGTCTGGTGGGGAGTTGTTGAGAATGAGGAGATGGGAAAGTACCACTGGTCAGGCTATCTTGCTGTTGCGGAGATGGTTCAGAAAGCGGGTCTGAAGCTTCATGTATCACTTTGCTTCCACTCCTCCGATGAACCTAAAATTCCACTTCCAAAGTGGGTAATGAAGATTGGGGAATCCCAATCAAGCATCTTCTTTACAGATCGATCAGGACATCATTATCGAAAATGTTTATCACTGGCTGTTGATGATCTTCCTGTTCTTGATGGAAAGACTCCAATTCAAGTCTACCAGGACCTTTGTGAGAGCTTTAAGTCCGCATTCTCACCTTTCATCGGTTCTACAATCACGGTAAGAGGTTTTGTCCATACATTAACTCGGTTAAGTTAGCCATAGACCACGCTATTCTGGTGTGCTGATGCTAATGGCTTATGTATTTTGGTTTTGCAGGGAATCTCAATGGGTCTGGGGCCAGATGGTGAGCTCCGGTATCCATCTCACCACAAGCCTAAGTGTGCCAAGAATGGCACAATTTCAGGAGTTGGGGAGTTCCAATGTTATGACACAAACATGCTTAAACTTCTTAAACAACATGCTGAAGCAAATGGAAATCCATTATGGGGACTAGGTGGTCCACATGATGCCCTAGTTATGATCAGCCACCGAACTGGAATAACTTCTTCAACGATCACGGTGGGTCTTGGGAAAGTCCTTATGGCGACTTCTTCCTTTCTTGGTATTCAAGCGAGCTCGTATCTCATGGAAATCGTCTCCTCTCCCTAGCCTCTTCAATTTTTGGTGATTCCGAAGTCAATGTTTATGGGAAAGTCCCACTGATCCACTCTTGGTACAAAACCCGGGCTCACCCTTCTGAACTGACAACCGGATTCTATAACACTGCCTCAAGAGATGGCTATGAAGCAGTTGCAGAGATGTTTGCAAGGAATTCGTGCAAACTCATCTTGCCGGAATGGACCTGTCAGACAAGAACCAGCCACATGACTCTCTCTCGAGCCCTGAATCATTACTGGCACAAATCCAGGCAACTTGCAACAAGCACGAGGTTGAGGTTGCCGGGCAGAACCTGGCATCCGGATCCCCTGGGGGTTTAGAGCAGATCAAGAAAAATATGCTGGGTGATAATCCAATTGACCTATTCACTTATCAGCGAATGGGAGCTCATTTCTTCTCTCCGGAGCATTTTCCTTCGTTTACGGAGTTCATCAGAAGCCTTAATCAACCTGAAATGCACCCAGACGATATGCCATCGGAAGAGGTAGAAGCCACCGAATCTGTACAAACGAGTTCAGATCCGAACATCCACTTGCAGACAGCTTAGCAAGAGTTCTGTGTATATTGTATCTTTTAGACTTTAATTGTGGGATTTTAATTATCTTTTTAGGGATTTGGTCATGTTTTTCTGAACTCTTAGTTACATGAACAAAATAAGCAAATGAAGCATAATAAAAATAGTTATTTTTTACATAACTGAGACCAAGTTAAGCTGTACTGATCCTATAAATCCCCAGTTTCATTTTAATGATTCAATAAAAATCCAAAATCCAAGCTGGTGTGTTATAAACCTTGAGATGATCAACTACACAGCACTTGTTCATACATCCCTGATCCCTGCACCTGGAGAAAAGGAGAAACATGTTAGTAATTTTCATGGATTTCAGTAACTGTGCTTGGATACAACAAAAAGCAATAATGTGCATATGATGGATGGTTTACATGCATTATTACTTGGTAGGTTGGCTCGACGCATCAGAGATGAACATCACAAGTTGGATGAGCAATCATTAGTCAAGGTTATTAATGGGTGCAGTTGCAGATATTTAAGATGTCACTTTCTTTTCTTTTTTTCAGGAATTAAAATGTAATAAAAGCAGTGGGTAGAGAAGATGAAAAGTTTATGCTGGTAAATGGACAGGGGCTTTACTTGTTTTTTCAAAAATAAAATAAATACAAACCTGTTCATCATTTATTCACAAGCAATCTTCGTGTCAAAGCTGCTGAGGCAGATAGCAAAGGCTTGGAAAGCTGAGATCGGATACTGGTAATCCATGGTAAACAAATCCTTCCCCACTTTCCCAAACTGGAGGATGATCTTCTCATGTTCTGGCCCTGCTGGTCCATCTTCCGGAGACGCCACCAATTGGAAGTTTTTCACTGAAGCAACCGTAACTCGTCCATGGAAGTTCAAACACCAACACTGGAGTTGCTCGTGCCACCTCGGAGCCTTATTTGTCAAGACCAGTCTACCATTCTTTTGATATGATAAAGGGCCAGATAGAAAATTCTCCAAACTGGCCGACTTTGAATGAAAGATTGGGATCGATTGAGATGGATTCACATTGTTGAGAGAAAACTCAGCCTGGGTGGAGGCTAATCCTCCTGGTCCTATTGAAGTTGCAGGGATGGTGTTCATACTACAATGCATTCTTCTTGGACCCCTAGAAGTCATTAAAAATATGCCCCCATCAGTTATCTATGTTGCTTCCGATATGGGATATATCTGACACTAACACTCAAGTTCGAGTAACATAGATTTCTATGAGAAAGTGAACAGTTGATTTAATGCATGAGCTAATCAATAATGACGGATCAATTATTGCCTTGAACAAGAAGATATTATCAAATCCTTATCCAAAATAATGGCGAACTCTTACCTTGAACCTAATGTATTTAATTCATATGAAATGTGAGCCATGGGGTAACTGCCAGAAGGGACTCTAGGTGAAACTTGTTTTAAATTTGGTAGCCTAGAGGATCTACTTTTAGCTATCTTTGCACCAGTGTGAGGAGGTTGTCCATCAAAGACGGTGAACTTGGTCCCTAAAAAATTTGATCTTCAGAAAAGGAAACAAAAATGACATAAGAGTTGAGACTGCAAGATAAGGTAAATCAAAGAATCAATATGTATAATTTTGTTGGTTATAACATATATATATATATATATATATATATATATCACTTCTTACCTCAATCTCCCAACATAAGCATTACTCCCCTTTGAGATATCCTCAGCCTGTAAAGAGATGATATAATCTGTGCAAGTTGGACGCCTACACTTGCGAGCAGCAAGAAGGAACTTTCCAACGTCCAATAATGCTGCCATGGAGAAATTAAACGAAAATTTCCGAAGTGTTACTACAGAAGAAAGGAATATATGAAGATACTATTCTCGTTGATCTAATCTAGTAATTGAATGGAATGACTCATCCAATTCTTGTAGAAGAAGAAAAACTTACAATTAGTTAAACCAAGGTAAAGGTAGTATGTTTGGGTTGATCGATTTCGCTTTATGAAGCATTGAAGGAGAGAATCCTTTGGACCGGGCTGCAAATTGGATTTAAAAGTCAGAATTTTCAAGATTTGATGACAAGAAAATATAGAATTAAAATACTTCCAATTGATAATAGTTCTAGAGACTGATACATCAAAACACACTCTAATGTCATGTTGCTCCAACTAGTGTGGGAAAATCATCTTGCAAAGATCCTTCAAAGACATAAAAGAACTTCGGAGGTATGGAACAGATCCATTTCTGGTACATTCTCGTATCTAGCATTCACTTGAGCCCGAATACTATAACTCTATAGCTTTAATTCAATGCATAAAGCAAAATGGTAGTTGAGAAAAAGGGACTTTAAAGACATGGTGATAGTGGTTGTAGCTAGCTAATGATTACTGTTAACCAACACTGGTTGCAAGCTAAAAGTGGTCCCAAATCTTGAACCAGTCTTCAATGGAAATTTATCTATCAAGCTATAGCATAAAAGAAACAATGATTAGGGAGGGACTCATGATGGTCCCAAACATTTACTGTAATGTAAACTTGCCTTGTCTAATGGTCCAATACATGGCAGACAAAAATGGTTAAAAACACATGCCAGGTCCACAACTATATTTGAAAAAGCAAATTTCATTCTAATTTACCAAATTGCATCTCCAAACACAAATGCATAAGATTCTTGGAAAAGTTTTCCTAATTTGTTGAACTCAAAGGTATATATAACTATTGGGACCTTTAATCTCCAATCCAAACTAGAAAATCAGACAACAAATGATATCAGCATGCATAAAATTTACTAAACAATTCATAAGTAGATTCCCAGGAACATAAAATCCTCAGAAAACATTGGGGAAAACCCAGAATCTTGAAAATAGATACAAATAAAAATACTCAGACAAAAAAGAAAAATAAAACCATTAGTCACCAAATCAAAATGATCAAATGACCCTGTTTCCCGAAACAGGATTGGAATTAAACTTCAAAATCTTTTTGTTCACTAGAGAGCAAGAGAATTGAAACCCATGATATTGAGGCAAGAAAAAAAAAAAGGGAAACCTGTTTAACTGAGATGGGAAAAGTTAATTTCCCTGAAAGTTGAGGAACTTTAACAATCTGTTTAATAATAATCCTCCAACTCCTGCAAACACCAGCACAGGCGACCACATTTTTCCTCTGAGGCCAACTACTTTCCGAGTCTTCGATCCTTAAAAGAACTTCCCATAACAATTCCTGAGGCAGGTTGGCCCAACAGCAACCACCGCCAACCGCCGCTTCATTGGAAGCTCGAAGGAGATGGTCTTGAACCACCCGGCGGGACCTTAGCCTGGCAATGCACTTCATTGCCATCGATAACGTCAAAAAGTGTAAGAAAAAATAAAGATTGTTACGGGTGGAAATTGCTTCGTTGCTATGTTTTGCATGAAAAAAATTGAGAAAATGAATGAAAGAGGATGAGAATATTGTTGGGGTTTGGTTGTTTTTGTATAGAAATTAGTTTGGGGTTTGGATAGAAAATTGGAATTTCCAACTTTTCAAGTGTTTTCAGCAAAACTCAACACTTCTTTGGTGTAAACTTTAGACGGGTTTTAAGGGGAAAAGTTTTACTTTTTCCTTTTTCTAAAGACCTCCTTTTTGGCTAATAAAATTTTGGGTAAATTACACATAATTTCATTTAATTACAGATTTGGTAATTAATATGTTATTTTTTAATTATAAATAGGTTATTTAATTAAAATATCATTATAAAATATCACTTCATTATTAATTTCAGAACATATAGTGATATAACTTGGTATAATAACCGTTTTGGTCGTTAAAATTTATATATTTTATCAATTTGATTCTAATATAAAATAATTTAATAAATTTAACCCTTTACATTTAAAATTTCATTATTTCAGTCTTTGTTCTTCTCCTAAAGATGTTTTTTTTACTAATTAGATAACAATTTAACAATAACTTGTTTTATGATATAATACAATTATCCAACTTCTACTTTGATCCAATGAGTCCGTTTAGTTTGATAGTAGAAAAAATATTAAATTAATAAACAAATTAAATACGAAGGGTTAAATTTATTAAATTATTTTGATTTAGGATAAAATTGATAGAATATGTAAATTATGGCCTATGGGGATTAAAAGTGTTGTTATACTAGGTCATATTAGATGATGAATTCAATTTTAATGGAGTGATATATTTGTAATAATTAAATGTCCTTAGGTGTAGTTTACCCTAAAATTTAAAACTTGTCGTTTTACTTTTTTTATTTCCATGATTTTAGGAAATTCTTTTATCACTATTATTATGTTTTATACGTAAAGAGGCTCTTTTTGGTAAATTCAAAACCTGTCCTTTAATTTAATTTTCCACAAATATTGGTGGTTAAATAATTGTTTTGGTCCCTATACTATGCTCAAAATATGAGTTTTAATCCTTATATTTTAATTTAACATAATATAATCTTTTAACTTTACAATATCGTCAGTTAATACAAATAATTAACATTGGTAACTATTTCAATTAAAATAACATAGTGAAATGTGTGCAAGAAATGATTTTTTAATCAAAAGATCATGTCAGCCTTTCCACTGAAATAGTTGGTTGATTAACTCTTTAGACTAAATTATAAAAGTAGAGAAATTGAAATACATCGAATTAAAGTATATATGTTAAATTTAAATCTGAGTATAGTAGAGGGACCAAAACAATAATTTGACCAATTTCATTGATTATTTTTATAAGTTCATTACCATATTTTACTATAATTTGTTTTTAAAATTGTTCACATTAAAATATATTTTATTAATATTTTGTTGGTAAGAAGATTCTTTTAGTTAAATAATTATATTTTTTCTCATCTGGACTTCGTCCTAACTAATTCGGACATACCCGGATTGCACAATTAATTTTGGTGGGTGTCTCTCAATAGAGATTTTATGTATACAAAAAGATTCGAACTCGATAAATACTTAAATTATATTAAGATGCTTACCATTTGATTTAATCTCTGATTAAAGAATTCAAATATGTTTTGCTGTGTTTGTATAGTACACATCGAAAGTGAGGAAAATAAAATTAAAAAAGAAGTTGGTGGCTAATGGGACCATTGGAATTGGACCCTCCTCTCTATAATATCTCCCATTTTCTCTTATTTTATTTCATCTTTTGAATAAGAATTCCACCCTTTAGTCTATGGGAGGATGCTGCAATGATTTCCCAACATTTTCTCATCTTATAATCATTTTTAATAAAAAAAAAAACCAATTCTCCCTTGAATTCCCTCTAATAATCATCATTGACTTTAACTTTCAACCTGATATACTATTCATCAAATTAAGTGATTTTAATAGTTAAGAGATTATTGTTTTCTCTTAAAGTTTGTCATAAAATAACAGTTCGAGACAATAGATAAATTAGACTTGTATTGAAATCATAAAAAAAAGAAATATAGATTAAAATGAAAAACCCGAATATTGGAAGAATATTGACTTCGAAGTGGTTGAGGCATGCAATTATGCAGTTTCCTTAAGATAAAATTTCGACCACTCCTTAGTGCTCGAGATCTTTTAGTCGTCTGTCTCCCAAGATGCAACAACAATATAATCAGCGTAAAGTAGCACACATTGCGAGACCACAAACCTTTTACTTGCTAGAGAATATCACCAGAAAAAACATATATTTGGTCACGGGTCTAATATTTAGTTTTTATTTTAGTCACTCAATTATTATCAACTTTAAAAAACATATCTAACGTATTTTGGTTCTTTTATGATCACCAATCGTTAAAAAATTAATGGTGATGCTGATGTGAACTTTTATTTTATTTCTTAATATTGACGTGATATTACCTTATGTTAACACGTTATCATAACTGTTAATTTTTTAATGATGTATGATCAAAATCAAATCAAAACGAAAACGTAACGTTAAATATGATTTTGAAAAAAATAAATAACTAAATGACTAAATTAGAACTTAAATAATAATTGATAACCAAATAAGTAGTTTACAATAAGATTTAATGCATATCATTAGTTGGCCTGCATATACATTTTTCTGAGTATTTTACATCTCACTGAAATTGCTTTGCGTGCGAGAACTGATTACTTGTGTTATATGTATAATATTTATTTGTTTATCATTTAAAACTTTGTTGCAAGTGAATATAAGCAATTTCAATGGTTACATGGATTATTCTTTTTCTAAAGATTTCAGGTTCGACTAATTATGTTTATAAAATATATATTCATGATTTTTATAAAAAAAATATATTCTAAACATATACTAAATTGTAAAATAATCATTCCAGATAACCTTACTGCATTTGTAAACAACAAGATTTGGTACTTATAGGATCACAATCTCAGTTTTCTTATCTCATTTCGTATGAACAATGTTAACAATTTTATGTATCAAATTTTTGCATGGGACTATATTGACATTTGGTAGCAGGTTTCATACGTTATTATTATATTTTCATCATCAGATTTATTTTCATTTTTTATATAATTTTGATGTCTTAATCTATTGCATTAACTAGATGTTTCACGTAAGTTTTAAATATTATAATAAATTATAAGATATTATGATAAATTAGGTGTTTGTTGTGTAGTAAAATGATAGTTAATCTAGTTTTGAGTTTTTATTTCTTTCTATAATTTTTCTTGGATCATTTCGATATCAACGATCTACGAGATTCTATTATAATGTATAGATTAGATATAGAATGTTACAATTTTCATATGAGATTTTCCAGATTGGTCAAAAATTTTACTCCTGATAAGAGTAATATCGTCCATTTTAATATTTGAGTGTACAAATATTGACAAACTGTGTTTGAACAATCCCCCAAGAAAGTGGTTCGTCTCATAACATAATTATATCTCATTTTATTTTTTTAATCACTTTTTCAATCAATGTTAGTATTTTATTATGCAGCTGTGTTATTTTTTCTATTGTTAGTACTTTATGTTAATTTAGCATTTTAATGTTATTACTTTCATTATTTATTGTTTTACGGTAAACTACACAAATATTTACTAATGTTTAAGTAAATTTTTATTTTTCTCATTGAAGTTTCAAAACTAACGAATCAATCATTAACATTATCAATTTATAACAAATCGATTATTAACATTGTCATAATAAATCAGTCACTTGATATTAACTACCGTTAACATAGGTGACGGAAAGCTTATGTGGCCATCTAGTTCTTTTTTTCATAAAAATTGTCTATTTTTTTTACTATTAATACTTAAAAGTTTTATGTTAAGTCAACAGATATATATACATATATAATCTTATCGAAACACTGTATATGAAAGCCACCTAATTCATAGGTTTCAAACAAATAATTGTTTAACATTATATTCCACCTACATAAAATCTGTTCAATTTAATTACAGAAACAATAAGAGGTTTCTACATCGCGGGGAAAAAAACTTATTAATGTTGGAATTTCGAACATCATAGTAAACAGATAAAAGATCCTCCACAACCATAACCATAAACAATCACTAATTAAGTAATTATTCACTCGTTCATATGTGAAGAAATTCTCCTAAAGATGGCTCAAATATCCGATCACCAGGCTCATGATGGCCACCACGCATACGTAGAAGAAGGGAAAGCCAACTTGAATTGTTTTTCCGGCAGCGGAATTCGTCTTCAATGCCTCCTACAATCAGAAAAGCGATAATAGTTCCCCATTTAATGGTAATAACTAAGAATAATTAATACTACAGTCGTGTTTTATATGCATTTGAACATGAAAATGAGAATACGGTACTTGAAATATCTTTAAAAAGACGAAATACTTAGAAAGTATAAAAAAAATTAAACCCTCCCATGTTGCATACTTACCCAAATCCGATAAATATACCAGAGTCCGAGTTAGTCAATTATGAATATTATTTTAACGAGCTTCGTTATATGGCTATTTAGCTGTTTTTATTGTTATAGCAAGTTTCTTGTCTGTTCAGTGTGTCAAATGAAAATGAGACTCACTAATTCACCCTGAAGCTTGTCCTTCTCTTGATCAGCCATACTCCTCTCCTGTGTCAGCTTCACGATGGTAACTTCAGCCTGGTGACAAAATATGTATATTATATATAGGATTATTCATGAAATAAGAGCATGCTTACACTCTTTCGAATCTTCATTTTCTTAAAAGTGTTTGTGCTCAACATCCATGTCCGACTCATGTATATATGAGTACAATGTTATAATCTTTCAAAAACCCTCTAAATACATGGAAAACTTAAAACAAATTAAATATAGAAATGTCAGAAACATGTACCTATATCGGACATTGTGCATACGAGACTCAATAAGCTTAAATCAAAGGGAAATAGCACTAACCTCTTTAAGTTTTGAATCCATAAAACTTATCTTTGACTTCAACTTCTCAAAATTGTCATCCAACTTCATTTCCTTTGTACATTTCAGTCCCTGTACATCCTTGGGGATACTTGACTGCACATTGCTAGCTGGAGTTAGCTCTTTAGAGTCATCTACGGAAGTTTTAAACCGTTCAACATCCGTAGTTGATCTTAACTCCAGTGCATCCTTAGCAGTCTCAAACCCCTTCAAATCCTCAGCAACCTAAGAGAAGATAACTATTACACTAGGATCCTTAATCACATCTTATGGTACTCGGACTTACGTGCGCATGTTAGACAAGTGTATGCATCTAACACAGGTATGTTAAAGCTTTTCCAAGATTTTCATGCATTTGGATGGTCCTTGGTGAATGGTATCCCTGTAAGTCTATAACTATGTCCAGATATACAGCCATTAATAACATGAGAAATGCACAATTTACACTTACCTTCTGAGGTGGAGGTATGTTTTCTACTCCACGACAAGCTTTATCCTTTCGAGGTGAAGTTTCATGATCCATTTCTTGTTTGAGGTCTCCATTGATTGCTGTCAAAACTGGTGACTGTGGTGGGCTTGTAAGGAATACTTTCAGCTTCTTCTCTTCAATGTCCCTGCCACTTTCTTTAGAAAACTGCAAATAGGAAACGATGAATAAATTGTAGGAACAACAAAAGAACAGTCGTTACACTGGAGAATTCTTACGATGTTGGATATGTCTTCCTCAGCTGTCCCGAGAGGAATTACTGTACTTTGAATCAGAAACTTGTCTTTGCACATCAAGTCAGGTGGAGCAACACTCTGAGCTTGCATAGTAACTGCACCAAGACAAAAAGAAAGGCCAAAAAGAATTGCATTTGATATTGACTTAAATAGATTTAAACTATGTTGTTGAACCATACCCGGATCTGGCATTCACACTCTAGACTGAGTAACTTGGGTTGTAAGCTACTCGAACCTGACTAACTTAGTAAGCTATGTTACCATGATCTAGAGGTGAGTGTCGATTAGATACATGCATTTTTCTATATATTTAGAGAATTATATACTTCAGACCCATGTACAAATTTGTGTAGGACGCTGATACTCCAAAAAAACGAAAAGTTCGAATAAGGAGAGCACATATGGTAATTATCCAGTTACATACATCCATAACATTCTCTTAAATTCCACACTTAACGTCAAACACATCTTAGGCATTACTTAAAGAAGAAAGAAATCTCAATAAACTCTATAATTTCAAACTCATTCAGTCTCCAAAACAGACATTCAATCTAAAACCATGCAACCAAACAATATTCATCAATCACTAACAATCCAACTTTCAATTTTGAATAAAATTAGCACCTCAACCGTATAAGTAAAGCAGAATCTAAAAACATTAAACGGGTGAGTGAAGTTAAAAGTACCTGTAAAATCATATGTTGATTTAGGTTTAACAATGCCAGTGTTGGGTCTCACACAGTACTTCTTAGGAGAAGTAGTCTTCACCTGAAAAATCATTTTATTAAGACTAAATTCATTATAGTTGAATCTGAATCTCATAATTCAACTAAAAAATTATCAAAAGGCGAGAAAATAAGAAAGACCCATAGATTAAAATGGGAAGAAAGATACCTTAAAGGCTACATACTGATCCGTGTTGTTGGTTAATTGGATCAAGCATGAACTCTGTTTCTTTAACTCAACTTCGGTAAGAGACAAAGCAAATAATAGATTAAACATCGTTATAAATAAAAATTACTCAACCCTTTTAGATTTAAATAAATAAGAAACATACAAGTAAAATTGAGTTGTTGAGGGTGAATTTCCAGGAGCTCTGAAGTCATTGATCACTGCAAAGATTCCCAAGAAAAAAACAGAAAGAAAATGTTAAAAAAAAGCCTTGTGTTTCTGAAGCAAGAAAAATGTAGAAATCTATAGTTTACATTATAATTAAGAAATGAAGAACAGGAAAGATTTGAAGTTTAATGGCGGTTGATGGATTGAAGAACTGCTCTGCCTTCGATTATGTAGTTTGATTTGTGAATGTTTAATGGTTTCAGTTTGTGTTGCTTTTGGAGTATTTGGGCGTTGGTTGCGGCTGGTGAGTGTGGTGGGCCAATGTTTCTATTCAGCACCTCTTGAAGGTGTAGGCCCACCAAGGATAAGTCCAATTAGGCAGAATAAATAAAACTCGACTCGACTTTAAAATTCATAATTTCATCATAATAATTTTTGAAATTTTAGTAGTCCTAAAGAGAATATAAAAATTGAGCCTATAATAAAAATATTATAAATAAAATTGAGTTGTAAGAATAAAGAAAATTGAAATAATTCACTTATAATTTATATTTTTTGTTGTATTTAAAAAATATATAATAAATATATCAAATTTCAAATAAAAAATGTGGACAAAAATTATTAAACGTCTAACTACTCATACAAAACAAGCACAATCATTTTTAAGAGGTCAAGAGTTTTATTTCGGTTATATGTATCTTATAAAAAGTAATAAAAGAACAATTACTTAGAAATTCAATAAATAATTTAAAAATGCTACGTCACATTAACGTTACTTTTTTAAAGACAGATAATAAAATTAAAAATAAAACTTAATATTAAGTATGATATTTAAAAAAATAATAATTAGATAATTAAAACATAAATAAAGTAATGGGTGAGTGGTTAAATAGATAATTTACTTTTTTTAATTATATATGGACCTTTAAATTTTGGGCCTTGGACATATGCCCTTCATGCTCATGCTTAAAAACGGCCTCAAATTTCATAAACTCGATTTTACTCGAAAAAATTTTAAATTCGAATTGAGTTATAAAATATAATTCAAAAATTTTAGTAAGCAAATGGATTGATTTTTAAGTTCAAGTCAATTTCCTCAACTCCACATGATATATGAATATCACATATGGAAAAAAATACAAATATGTATGTATGTATGTCGTTTATGATTATAGAAAACCATTTAAACTGGAACCAATTAGTATCATAATATTATAAATAAATTTAAATAGAAATTCAAACAACTCGACTCGACTAAAAAAAATTTCAAATAAAATTTTAGTTATAAAATAGGGCTCGTCAACTCGACTAACTAAAAAAATTATTTGACTCAACTCCATCGAATACTCACCCCTACTTACTATGCTCGCAGCATCACCTTCAATATAAACCAATTACCAATCAAGGATGAATTGAGAAGAGACTAGTGAGGTAATCTCTCTTAAAAATTTTAAATTTTCGTATAATTTAAATATTTTTTAATATTATTTCATTAATAATTTGTTTTTGTCCTTTAATATAAAATTATACTTTAATATAAAACTATACGTAAAATATTGTTGCGAATCCTTCTCGACGGCCAAAGTAATCCCGTGGATGAAGGCTCGTGCTTCCATTATTTGAGGGTCATGGCATGCATTGAACTTTTGTGCTTGCCCCGCAACAACCATCCATGTATGATCCTTTGTTAATAAAGCACAGCGTCAACACAAATCTCATACCTATTAATTAGACTAAATCTAAATATGGTCCATACATGATACATAATATTTAATCTAAATTGGTAGAATATAGAAGTGTTGGAGGTTAATTTTTTAGAATTAGGATCAAATTAAAACAAAATATAAAGATTGAAAATTAAATTTGTTATTATATTAATCTAATTAATTGCCATCTCTTCTATATTCAATTTTTTTCAATAACGATGAACTAATTTGTTATTGTTTGAAATCGAATGGTCACTTTATATATTTTTTTATATTTAAGAGATTGAATAAAAAATATTTTATGATCTATTTGAGTATTTTACCAATAAATAAATAGTCAATAAAAACATAAAAGATTCTAATTAAATGACAAATTATATAATTCCCCTTTATTTTATTTGTTGGTACCTTGTTTCTATTTTTCTGCCTTAAAGCTGAATAAAAGAAATACTATAAACTAATGAAATATTAAAATTATTTTATAATTAAATTAAATAAAAACTATTTGTTTATTATTAAGTTTTTTTTAATATTTGGGACAGATTCATTTCGACCCGAATTTGTATATTAATTAATTGTAGCTGAGTTATAATTATATTAATTGTAAATATTGGACGTGACATATTTTTCTAAGTAGGCTAAGTTAGGCTATCTAACAAAAAAAGGGAAGACAAATTTCGCTTGGCAATCTAATCAATGTAGCTACTTAATCCTATATGATTAAGAATGTTTATTATGCGTTGGGTTGGCACATAAACTGAGAAATAGGGGTGAGATTTTGATCGAGTCAAGTTGAGTTAAATCAAAATATTTTGAATTATTCGAGTTGACGAGTCTTATTTTATAATTCAAACTTGATTTGAATTTTTTTTGAGTTTAGTCGAGTCAAATTGTTCGAGTTTCTATTTAAATTTAATTATAAATATTTATAATATTATAATATTTTATTTGATTTCAATTTAAACGGTTTTCTATTATCATATACATTACACATATATTTCATTGTATTTTTCATATGCGATATACATATATCATACATAATCGAGAGACTCGACTTAAACTTGAGAACCAATCTAATAATTACTAAAAAATTTGAACTCTTCGAGTTCTATTTTATAATTTGACTCGAATTTATTTTTTTAATCAAGTCTAATTTATGAAATTATAATTCAAAATTAATTGGGGTTGAATTTTTTAAGCCAAATCATATAAAAAAGATCGATTTTTCAAGTCAAGTTTTCTTCATCCTACTTCGAACTACTTCAAGTAGTATATGTTAAGCTTTAAAATTTTAAAATTGGGTAACGCAATTGATCTTTTCAGCCCAATAATAAGTTTAATTTAATATTTATATTATATTTAAACTATCTCTAATCATTTGAATTTTTAAATTAAAACACATTTAAATTCGCAGTTTTCATAATGTTGTAATAGTAATTACATCATTTAAATTAAGATTTAATCAGTAATTTAAAATTTTAATTTATCAAATAAAACAAAATTCATCAATCCATTGGTACCAAATTGTCACAATCTTGTTATGTATGGGAACATGCAAGATGGAATTCATGCTTTAGGTTTACCAATATTGTTGGACCTTAAAGAGGTCGTGACTCGAACAATTTGAGAATGTTCCTTTTTTTTAAAAAAAAAAAACTAAGGGTCAAATATATAAATGGTCCCTATTTATAAAGCGCTGCTTTGTTGAGTTTCTCGATTATTAAAAGATACAAAATGGTCTCCTGATAATAGAGTGTTGTTTTATTGGGTCATCTGACTATTAAAAATTATAAAATGATCAACTGAGTATTCATATGTTCCAAACTCATCATTTCCGTTAAAGATGGCGTTCGTTTGAACTGGATGTTAACATGGTAATTGAAATATGATAAAATCATATTTTAATGACGTCTATTGACATCACTGTTGATTTCATGCATTGGCTCGACGAGATAATGTAAGCGAATAGTCGATCAAAAAATACAACTCAAACGATTATGAGATCAGATTTTATCATATCCTAATCAACATGTTAACGTCCAGCTCATATGATTGTAATTTTTTGAACAGAAAATGACGAGTTTGGAATATAAGAATAGTCATGTGACCATTTTGTAACTGTTAATAGCTTAGATACTTAACAAAGCAACATCTTATAATTTGGGGGCCATTTAGTAACTTTTAATAGTAAGGGGACTCAATAAAGCAACACCTATAACTGGGGGACCATTTGTGTACTTTACACAAAAAATAATTATAATTTAAATTCTAAAAGTTAATACTTTGGAACAAGAACCAAACGATCTCACTTGTTAAAAAAATATATTATTATCTCTAAAAGTTATAGGTTCGAGCATGACGCCTACATAAATGTTTAAGCGTTTATTATTAAATGATTGAAAATCTTTCAAACATATATTATCAGGATAAAATGGTTGGCATCTTTAATCATCAATTCTAAATAATTATAATAAAAAGCAACACGTAACAAGCCGCTCGAATAAGTGTAAATAGTCTTTTTCGGGGCTAACTAACAAAACACGGGTAAAATATCATTCAACTTTTTTCGTTTGCTTGATATTCTTACTAATTTAAACCTGACTTTGGTACACTCTTCTTTTTCTTCATTTATGAGAACTAAGATAACCCAATATTAGCTATTGAAATTTGAATAAATAAACTGTAAATCGATCCTTGGAAATGACTTCATAAACCAACTGAAGCACATTAAGTATCGTTTATAAATTTACATCTTGCATTTGAATGTTTCATAGTTTTCAGTAGTGTGACCCGGGCTTTATAGAAATAATTACATGTAATATTAGCATCATAGTCTTCAGGATAAGTAATTCTTTTGGCTTAGAATGAACTGAGGTCGCATTGTTTTCTCAACAAGCATTGAGAAAATGGATTGGTAGGAGTCTTTTTCTCAAAAAGTTATCTTATGTACATGATAATGTGATTGAGGTCGATAAAAAAACAGATGGATTGAGTAAAATCCTACCAAATAGATTTTAAAAGAGTGTAAATATAATAAACAACCAAACTAGTCTTTAAGTTCATTTGCACATACCTCTAAGAATTAACAAGCATTAACTAGCAAATGAACAAGTACAACCAATTATAGAATTAACAAGCATTAACTACGTACCTATTCCTTGGGCTTTCATTTGTTGTGTATACATCACCTAAACTTTGAAGAATATTAAGCTTTGTTCAACTTTGACGTCTGATATGAAAAGATGGGTCTCGATTTTATACTTAATCTAAGGGGATTATAAATGGTATGTTCTAAAGATTCTCATCCATTAGATGATAATAAAAGTTCAAATACCTTCGCATTCTCTGGTGCTAGAATCTGGAACCTCTAAAAATAATAACCTCATTTTAACCATTCAAGTAGATTGATTCATACTTTTTAATATATTTTTTAATTTGTTCATTGATTGTGTTCTGTGCGAATTTATTATAAAATCCTAAAATTTACTATAATCCTAACTTTATTCGCTTTCATTTTAATTTCATATAAAAATATTAAATCTTGAATTCAAACACTTAGATTATTAACTTGGAAAAATTAGAGGTGGGATCACGGTCTAAAAGACGTTTTTCACCAAATGTACTTTATTTTTTCCGCAAAAATGCGTGGATAGAATAGGGGGGGGGGGGGGGAATCAAGCGTAATGTAATGATATTTTTTCTCAACCAAGGATCTTGTTATAGTGATAAAAAAGAGGACCGGATGATATGATATTTTTTAGAAAATAATTGGATGACACAATATTTTTTAATTTTCATGTATGTAGTAAATATTGTGTTGTTTGATTGTCTTTCATGAAGATACTATATCGTCTGATCGTCTTCTCTGATCATTATAATAAATATTATACCTTAGCTGAGAAAATAAATTCAGATAAAAATTACTTGAAAAAAAATATTTTTCTTCATTTCACTACTTGAGTATTTTGTCGTGCTTTTTAGATATATTATTACGTATGCAAAAAATACACATCATTTGTAAAATACGACCGAGTTGCATATTTGTTGAAAGGGTGTTATTTTAAAAAAATAATTAAGAAAATGTTATTTTAAAAATAGATAAAAGGACCTTGAGAACGAAACTTAGTAAATACATTTTTAAAAAAATATAGGGAAAAGTATACAAATGGTTTTCTGATTATAGAAAATTGTTTTGTTTAGTCTCTCGACTATTAAAAAATTATAAAATGGTGTCAAACTATAAGACATTATTTTTTGAGTCCCTAACTATTAAAAGTTATAAAATGGTCTCTCAACTATTCATATATTCTAAACTCGTCCATTCCGTTAAAAATTTGACGACCGTCTGAATCGGACGTTAATCTGTTGATTGAGATATGATATAATTATATTTTAATGATATCCACTGACACTGTCATTGATATCAAGCACTGATTTGACGACATAATGTTTCAAGCACTAACTCGATGACATAATATAAACAGAGAGTCGGTCCATAAATTACAACTCAAACGATTATGTGATCAAATTTTATCATATCTCAATCAACATATTAACTTCTAGCTTAAACGATCACCAAATTTTTAACAAAAAATGATGAGTTTGGAACATACGAATAGTTGAGTGGTCATTTTATAACTTTTAATAGTCGGAAGACTCCACAAAGCAATGCCCAATAGTTAATGGATCATTTTGTAACTTTTAATAGTTATGAGACTCAAAAAAGTATCTCCCTATAGTCGGGAGACCATTTGTGTACTTTACCCAAAAATATATAAAAACCTGAAAAAAAATCCTTTCAAAAACAGACATTTCATTCTCTTAAATACAGTGAAGAAACAGGTGGGATTCGTATTGGGATGGTGGGCAGATGTTGAAAAGCTTTTTCGATGAAAACAATGAAAAATGAGAAAATTTGGGGAATTTAGCGATAAATCTCAACAACTTTGTAACGTTGACACAAACAACAAGGCGAATTATAAAACCAGTTGCAGTCTTTATAAATCCAACTCCTCTCTCAATCTTTGTGCTCTCCGCCTCTTCTTTCCTCCATTCTATCGAAACCGCTTCCAATGGCTTCTTTTACATTATTCAGCTCCACTCCTCTTTCAACTTCTTTCAAGCACACCCAGGTTTCCTTTTTCATCTTCTTTCTTTTTATGCCCTTTTTCTTTTTCTTTTTAAGTTGGGTTCTTTTAGAAATGTTGGTCCTGTCGTTACTTTGTTTGCACTTTTTTTTTTTGGTTTCTGGGTATTGACAGAATTTGCGATGGATTTGGGTTTGTTTTTGGAATACAAGTGTTTGTCTTTGATTTGGGTTTGCGATGAATTTGCCATTTTTTATATTTTTGTTACATAAATATACTTTAATGGCTTCTTCAGTTTTTCAAGAGTAAAGTTTCACGTTTCATTATATGTATCAGTTTGAATGATTTTTCCTTTTCTGCTGTGTAAGACACCCGAGTGTACACATTTGGGATTCAAATGACGGTTGGATAGCATAATAGCGGATATTATCTAATAATAGTGACTGTTTAAAATTACTATTATAGAAAATAACGGTATGAAATAAAATCACACCAATAACGATAGATCGCGGTCATAATTTATCGGCAACGCTCAATAGTGAGCCGCTATTCTCGACATTATTCCACTATTTTATTTTTAAAAAAATCAGCTCATTTAAAAAAAAACTCTTTTAAAAAAAATCACAATTGCGGTACTTGCAATTACCGTAATAGTATTTATTATATCCACAACTGCGGTACTCGCAATCACCACAATAGTATTTATTATAATTATAACCGTGATAAATATAAGACAACTGAAAAACGGTCACAATTACAATTAAATCTTTGATACGCATATTATATATTCAAGATCTCGACTTTTGGTTTTGTTGAGGTTGAATTTGAGATATACTGAACCATGGTACTCTGATTTTTGAGTAAGTGTTGGATTAAATATGTATTTGATAAATATAACTATTTTTGAAGTCATTGAGTGTTCTTAGAATTAAAAGGGAATGTTATTTCTCAGATCTAGGTTCAAGAAGCTAGGTAGAGTGTGAATGTGCACCCGAATCAGTTCCTTTTGTTCTGTTCCCATTATATGATTCGACTTTCTTGAGCTGATTTTAATATAGGTTTTGAGTTTGGTTTACGCAAATTCTGTTTGAACAGGTACGTCTTCATGGGATCTCTAATGTCAAGTCTGTTTACTTCCCATCACTTACGATGCGCCGCCGATCATCGCGGCTCTGCGTTTCCTGTGCAGTATGCTTTTCTTTCTTATCTGTTCTGTTTTTTTGGCTGAATTTGTGGATCTGCATCCGCTGAGTTTACTCATTTAGCTATGTAATTTAGTTCAATGCCAACTTCCAAATAATAGGATCATACACATGCAATAATCACTGAGTTCTAACCGGAACTGGGGATATTAACTTGTTTAGGCCAAACCGGAGACGGTAGACAAAGTTTGCGAAATAGTGAGGAAGCAACTGGCACTTTCTGATGATTCTTCCGTCACCGGAGACTCAAAGTTCTCGGCACTCGGAGCTGATTCTCTTGACACGGTAACAAAATATCTAACCCTATGAATGGGGATTGGATCTATTATGTTGCTACTCAAATAACAGTATTAACATCTAACACCATCATCGGTTTTTCTCCTATTCAGGTCGAGATAGTGATGGGACTGGAGGAGGAGTTCGGTATCAGCGTGGAAGAAGAAAGCGCACAAAATATCAGCACGGTTCAGGATGCGGCCGATCTGATTGAGAAGCTCAAGGAGAAGGAAGCTGCTGCTTAGAATGTTGTCATGTTGTTGAAGTTGGGAAGAATTAAAACTAGAGAAATCTAATATTATGAGATGAAAATCCTTGTCTTATTAAATTTCATATGATCTTGTCTTTAGGCATTTGTGTGTTATTATGTAAGCTATCATAAACATGAAGAGTGGCTTCTTTTCTGGTACAACAAAACCTGTGGCGTCCTTATAAAAACAGACATGATATCATCTTCAGACAAACCCAATTTCCTTAAAAGAAACCTGATTCCCTTAAAGCTTCAACTTCTGTTCCCAATTCTCTTCACTCATTGAACTCAACGTCCTAGTAGCAACAGTCAACATATTCGACTATTAATATTTACAAATTCGACATATATGTGTTGTATTATTATCTATTTTTACCATTATTAATATTTATAGTTACAAAAATTCACTATTTATATTTAGGGTAAGTAACATCATATATCACTGAATGAGATGCTCTCCACCACTTCCTCTTGCCATAACATGAAACCAAATCTCTTGTATTACCAAACAAATTGTGGGAAGACATAAAAACGAATTAAGAACTAAATGGAACATAGAATAAGCTCTTACCTCCTTAAATCTTGAAGAAAAAGATGAAAGAAGAAAAGGGAGAAGAAAGAAAGAAGAGAGAATAGAATGAGGAAAGTGCTCATCCTTTTCCCCAAACCGAAACCCAAAGCTAAAAGAAATCCCAATAAATCAGTTTTTTTTTTAAATGGTCTAATTACACTTTTGGTCCCTCCTATTTTACCTTCTATACAAAATACCCTTTTATGGCCATTTGGGCTCAATCCTAGCCCAAACAAGACCAACCTTGGCCCAATGCTTCTTAATGGACTATTGGGTTCATCTAAAACTCACTCGGGTACTCCCACTGAGACTCCTCCGATGATATCATTGTCCCATCACAAAAATAAAACATGTAGATGTAACAATTTCAAGGGTGAGCTAACAAGATCAATGAGTACACGACTACTCTATTATATTTCATGAGTTCCATATATAATAAGCATGCAAGTCATATATAAATATAAATGCATCAAGTATGATCATATCTACTCTATTTATCAATGTTTAACTGATTATCTAAAGTCTGGAATATTTTATGGTATCACATTATCAATCTATAATATCATTCTTATCAACATTCGTCTATCGCTACTCAAGCATGTTATCATTCACCTACATGCTACTCAAGCAAGATAAACTATAGTATCAAGTCTCACCTAGAATCAAATACTAAAGTCAATAATAATATGGGATCAATGATCTCAAATAACATAAATAATGTATAGATTCAAAATCACACAACAACAAGTACATCATTGATATGAGGCATGGGGTCACATAGTATCAGGAAGGTACATTCATTTCGGATGAGGCCTGGGATCACGTAGTATCAAGAACGTACATCTGATATCGAGTGAGGCTTGAGGTTACATAGCATCAGGAACGTACACTTGACATCAAGTGAGGCCTAGGGTCACATACAATCATGAACATACACCAGACATCCATCTTTGGATAAGACTTGGGGTCATATAGTAACAGAAACATACATCCGACATCGAGTGAGGTCTAGGGTCACATAGCATTAGAAATTTACACCCAACATCTCGTCATCAGTACTGAAGCGTGCTTATAGAGTATCTGAATCCCTCCACACAAACCATACAACAAGAAATGCCCACGATGACATGCAATCGCAATCATCGGTTAAGCACCAAGGCATACTATCAAGCTCAAATTAATTATTTAGTAGCTTATAAAAAGTAATTAATCTAATTCTGAATATCTTACAACATTTAACTCACAATCTAGATTTTTTTTCATTTACTAGCTTATAAAAAGTAATTAATCTAATTTTGAATATCTTACAACATTTAACTCACAATCTAGATTTTTTTTTCATTTACTATAATTAAGGATATTTTAGTCATTTTTCATGCTCTTGGGTATTCCAATCTTTTACTATCATGACCTAGTCGAATACTTACTGGGGTGTCTATCCATGACCTTCATATATGAGAAAGCCTCAAAATAATATTTACTCTAATGCTTTCTAACTTTAAGGTATGTTGTTCGTCTTCTCAAAATAATGATTCACACCATTTAGATTTTCAAAAAAACACTTCAAAACTCATATATGATAAAGCCCCAAACCCCTAAAATAGTGATTTTTTTAGTTTTATTTCATCAATTTCGAGTGGGTTTCGTGAAAAACAAATCATATGAGAAGAAAGAGTAAAATACGAACATTTTGGAACTAGTTTTGTCTTGAAAGATGACAAGTGACGGGTGGCGGGAGTCTGTTGGCTGTCAGTGGCAGCCGTAAAAGTGTAATACCAAAAAGTGAAATGTTTAAAATTTTAATGACAAAATTGATACACCCTGAAATTCAATGCCTAAAACGACTTCATTTTAGGCATCAATAGTCGCACCCACATGATATTGTTTTGACAATGTCATCATTCTGTTTGGATTCTAGCAATCTGATGACATAATTGAAGTCAAAATTAAATTTAGTGCTATAATTGAAGAAATTGAAAGTTCAGTGATATAAACGATATACCGCCTAAAATTTAGTGGTATTTAGTGTATTCTATCCTAATATTTATTATGAGAAAACTTTATTTGAAACATGCAACTTGATGAATTAACTCATTTAATAAGCATATGTGCAAGCTTAAAAGTTTTGAAGGGTAGATGTTTCAGATGTAGGACATAATAGCTTTTAATATTTCATAGATACCATATATGGAAACTAAAGCTTCCATACATACTCCTCTTATAAGTACTTATTCCATATATGATATAGTTTTTCTGCTTATAATATAATATGATATAATGAAGCCTGCATAGAGTTGACTGTAGCAAGGTCTTCTAGAATTTATATAAAGCTTTTAAACCATCAATGTCGTCTTTGTTCAACTTCCTTTTGATAGTTCCAGGATCATACTTTGGAAACATCACTGTATCTTTTACCTGACTATGGTTAAGGCCAAGAACATGTCCTAATTCATGAACACCTATCGATTCCAAGTCTATCTGGTTAGATGCAGGTTGATTATAGGTCCAATTCCAGACTGCATTAAAGTGAAGGTCCCCTCTTTCCGGGTAAAAAGCATGAGCCATATCAAAAGGGAATGGATCCCCATGATTCACTGGGAAAAACCCTATTTTGATATTGGCATTGGCACCTTGAGCTTGCTTGCTGAACCTGAACCGAGATACATCTGCCCATGTATTCAATGCTTGAGAAATGACGGGGCTCATCTCCTTTGCTGTAAACACCTGGACATCGTTTTTGATATCATAGGTAAGGTCGTACTTGCTCCACTTTTCCCCTGGGAAAGAATAGTTGGAAACCAGGCCATTATTATGGAATATTATATCAGGGACACCGCATCTTGGAATCATCATTGCTTTGATTGTCGCAGAGTCGATCTTGCCTGTTACATAGAGATTATAGTATTTCTGGTATGTTTTCAATGCATTCTCTAACAAGTAATCGAAATGGTTATCGAGGCCAAACTGGATGTCATGAGGATAAAAGCCATAGATCTTGAGATACAGCTTCACTTGATTGATCCCACTAATATTTTCTCATCTTTTGGCTCCTTCAAGATTTTGATGGGATTCGAATTTTAGAGATTCAACTTCGAAAAGTTGCAGCACAAGGGATAGAAGGAATACTACAAGAAGTTGGAGAGAAAATTTAAAGGCCATTTTTGTTGTTATGTTTAGGGTGTGTTTTGATGTTCATGTTGATGCCCATTTATACACGCCCACCGTCAACCTGGAAATTTGAAGGAAAAATGAAGAGAAGAATTCAGTAGGCCATTAATTAGATCACTAGGTGTGAGCAACAACCCATCCATTAATTCTTAGAGTCCATTGTAAACTTTTGTAATGATCATGATTATATAGTATATTTAATTAAAAATACTTTTATTTGTAGATAAAATTATTTAAATCTAACTCACTTGAAGAGAATAATATTTCTTTTATTATTAAGTTCGTTCTTTGAATTTAAATCTTGTTGATGAACCAAAGATGATTATATCAGCTGATAGTAATTCACCCCTTTCTTGTCTGATACTGGGGTTTATACGTTGCTCAATTATTGTCCAATTCAACCTTCATAATTTTCAGGGGACAACTTTGTATAGATGTAGATTAGGTTAGGTTTATCTTCAATTAAATGCGCATGCAAAAGCACCGCTTTAATTTATTAGTAAAATAAATTATTTACGCTATGCACGTGGTATTTTATGAATTATTTTTTTTAAAAGTAGTTTTCTCAAGTTTAGATAGGTAATTTATGAAATAAGCCCAAATGTTTAATTTCAGGAGTGAATCTATGGATGGGCCTACTTAGGTCAAGGCCCACCGTATATCCCAAAAAATTAAATATAATTTAAATAAAAATATATACAAATTATGTTAAAAATTAAATTCGTCTAATTGATATATTTTTCTAGATTCAGTTTAAATATATATAATTTTATTATAATTTTAAATTAAAAATACATATGTGAATTATATTAGATAATTTTTTATTATTTTTATATTGATTCATCTAATATTTTTTTTTTTTGTATTCATCGCTCTTTAACTTGGTTGATTGTGGTAGTTGTCTATTGCAACCAAAACCAATTCTCCTTATTACGAGACGTAATAGTTATCAATAGTCTCTATCTTGTCTGCAACACATATTTGATTATATCTTTCAGTTTTGATTGGTATAAAGTATTTCATCGAAAGGAATTCATAAAACGATCTCAACTTAATGGTAAAGAAAAGTGTAATTCTTTTTAAAAAATTTAAATTCGAACATATGCCTCTCTAAATTATATGTATATTATCAATAATTAAAAAATATTAAACAAATTTAATTTTATAATCACCCAAAATCTAAAAGAGATATGGAGAAGGGTATTAGAGCTTTGTTAACTTCAAAGACATATTATGAACCAGAGACAATTGTGGGCACAAACTTAACTAAGAGGGGACTCATTTAATTGTCTTTGCTTGGAATTCATTCATTCATTTGATTTTCAATTTTATTATTTTATTATTATTATTATTTTTATTAAGTTAATATACACGAAAAAACACTCAATTACGCGATTGGAAACATACGAGTGTTGGAATATTGAAGAAAATATAAAAGAGAAATGGAAAAGCAATGAATATAATTCTGGACTTTTTTTCTGAATATAATTACATTGCTTTAATAAAAGCTTTACACAACTAGTCTTACAGTATAGCTAACTTTAACTGCTCAGCTAACCACCTCTACCAGCTTAACAACTTATTAAGCACGTGCAACTAACTATTCCAATATTTTCTCTACTTCCTCCTCCTGCGTTAATAAGACGAGAATCAAAAGTGTTATGCCTCCTTTCGTTCTACTTTAGATGAGAATCGAAAGTGCTATGCCTCCTTCCGTTCTACTTTAGACGAGAATCGAAAGTGCGATGCCTCCTTACGTTCTACTTTAGACGAGAATCGAAAATGTGATGCCTCCTTCCATTCTACTTTATTCACCTTTCTTTCCTTTCCTGTTGTTAATTTCTTTCCTTTCATCTTGTTCTTACCCACAGAACTGGCACCAAACCATGAAAAATGCACAATCCAGCATAACCAACAAAACAGTAGATGCACCAATTCAATTCAGGAGTATTAACCACGCAACAGTCAACTTAGAATCAAGCCATCAACAATTTGTAGCAGTAAAACCACAATACGAACGAATAACACGAGCAGTCGTGTACTAAAGCAACCAAATATTAACTAAAACAACAGCTAAAACAAAAAAAAAATGACATATGCAACAAACTCCATTGAAAACCATCAGCAAAACTGGTCATCAACCAAATCACTAAAGAGAAACATCAAACTAGTTCGATCTCATCCAGTGGTTACGTTCATTTGATAGCTGCCAACAAGTTGAAGTTTGATTGAATCACAACCAAGAGGAGTCAGTCCACACCAAACAAAATTGAAAACAATGAATGCTCAGCCTGTGAAACCACGCTGCCACATGCTGCCAAGACATCACAAGCCTCTTAACACGAGTTAGATACACCCTCATCGAATCATCACCTTTCTTGAGAAGCTGTAGCTTGTAGTGCAAGCTGATAATAGTCGTTTGGAGCACTGTACTCCAAACAGGTGACGTTGTTTCTGTCAAAATCTTTCATGACGATGACTACGCACTGTCAATAAAACTTATTGCTTCCAAATAAGGAAGTTTGTCTCGTTAAGAATCACATTCTTTTTATTAGAGAAAGCTTTGGCATTTCTTGTAGAAAATTCCTTCAAAGGAGAAGAATCACCACCATTCAACATGGCAAATAATAAAGAACGAGCAACTTTATGCAAAGGAGAAACTCTACGCATCGAAAGAAAAGAAAACTTCTCCAGAACCTTTAGCGAAAGATATCATGTTGGAATATTGAAGAAAATATAAAAGAGAAATGGAAAAGCAATTAATATATTTCTTGACTTTTTTCTGAATATAAATACACTGCTTTTATAAAAGTTTTACACAGCTAGTCTAATTGTATAGCTTACTTCAACTGCTCAGCTAATCACCTCTAACAACTTAACATTTTATTAAGCATGTGCAGCTAACTATTCCAATAACGAGCTACTAAGTTAATATTATAATAAGGGACAAACAGAAAATTTTATATTAAGAGATGAAATTGGACTTGTAAAATATTAGCGGGACATACTTATAAAATTTTAAATGGTGAAAATATATTATCAATAGATAATATAAATAAAAAACTTAAACTATATGAAAATTTAAAATTTTCGAAGAGGCAACCACCCTCATCTAACCCCCTTCAATTTATCTGTGATCATAATCACAATTCTTTTTTATTTTAAAATTATAAAATTTTTAATAGAAAATTGAGTGATTTCAAACTATTAATAATCGAATAATATAAGTAATATGTTGAATATTTAATAAAAATGTGAAAGAAAAAGGAATTAAATTAAATAAATAAATAAATAAAATCATAGCAAAAGGACATGGTATTAGATCATTTAAATTATTTATGTTTGATTCTTACCACAATGTTCAAGCCAGGTTTTGGACTGATTTTGTTTAAAAGAAGGTTCGTAGTTTTCTATTGCTTCTGGTTATTATACTTCTTTTTGTGTGATTGATAGTGTTGGATTAATTAATATTTTTGTTATTGCTTTTGGTTAATTAATTGAAGGTTAATTTTTAAACAATGAGTTATCAAAATCAGAAAAATTGATAATTTTTTAATTGTTCGGAGTGATTATAAAATAGTATTTATTCAGAATTTTTTAATCAATTGACAACACATACACACCATGTAGACACAACTGCTCGAATCTAAAATCTTAAAAATATTAATTTTTCCATTGAGACCGCTTGATATGCTCTTTATCATTCACTTTTGTTTAACTAACTTGAAAGTTGATATATATACATGATCTCATTTCCCTATTGTTTTTGGGTTGGATGCATTATGTTTTAGGCTGTTGCATATGTTTATCTTTACGCATATGTTTGGATATCTAACAAGCACCCCTATATAGACCCAAATTTTACTGCATAAATGTAAGTGTGCCTCATGTTGGATTTTAAACATTAGTGCTGACCTTTTTGTCTGAGTTATTGGATTTAACTTTTGGCGACTTTAAGTCAATTTAAGATTCGATATATATCTGAACATGATTACTTAAATTTGAATCAAAATCCGAACTGAAATAATCCAACTCGAATTTTAGCCGGATCAATAGAGAACTGAACTGAAAATAACCAAATAAAAAGCAACTCAAACTAAAAATAACCCAAACTGAAAGCACTTAGTATCTAGAACCAAAAGCAACCCAATTTTTTTTCACTAGATAAATCATTTAATAAAATTTTAATTAATAATAAAATTTATAATTGAAAATTTATTTTTTCATTAGATAAATCACATATCGTAAATTTTTGAACTGGATTAATACGAAAAATGTCATTAACTCTAGCGCGTCTTATAGGTCGGGTTCAAGTTAAATCATCATCGCTAAACGACGATTAAATTTAGATGAAAATGAGTCTAATAATAAGATTGACAAACAAAAAAACATTTTTATAAGAATATATTAATAATTTTATATATACTTGTAACATCCTAAATCAGAGTCAGTGACTAAATTGCAAATTTTAAAAACTATGTGCTCGATTTTGAAATAAGTTAAAAGTTCATGGATTTAATTGAAGAAAGTTGATGTTGGATTTAATGGTAAAGTTTGGAAATAACAAGGGTATTATGGTCTTTTCTAAGAGAATATTTTTTATTCTATTTTAAGGGATATAAAAACGTGGGAAAGAAGATAATTTCTCCAGTCTTCTTCTTCCTCCTCTCCACCGTGAAGCCTTGTATAAGGTAAGTGGGTCTTCAATTGGTTAATTCTTTCGTTTTAAAGCTTGTTTTGATTCTTGGGAAGTTAAGAAAGATTAAGGAAAGCTTTAGGTGGCTTAATACTCAAAGATTAGCAAGTTATGAGAAATTAAGAAAAATGAGTTTTTAAGTGAATTTTTGAAATAAAAGGAGTTAATAGATTTTGAAGTTTAATTTGACTTTTCAAGGGTTAAATTAAGAGATATAAAGTGATAGAATGGGTTTTAGAACATGTTGGAAATTTAGTGTGATTCTTCAATGCCATGTAAATGATAGAATTTTGAGTTTAAAGAAGTGATTATGGAGTAGAAATGAGTTTAAGTATGTGTATGAAAGTTAGGAATATTAAAGGGAGTGAAGTATGAAGTGTTGAGCTGAAAATGAAGTGATTTTCGAGCTAAAAATATGATTTCTGGGCAAGGGGAATTGGTACCCATTCAAGGGGAACCGATACCCCTTCAAACGAACAAAAATTTCCAGAATGTAATGAGGGAATCGATACCCCCATAGTAGGGAACCGATTCCCCCTAAAGGAAAATTGTGAATATTGTTTAATAAGTTCGTTTAAGTTGTTAGTATCAAATTACAAGGTATAGGTATCTAATAATTATCTTAAATGTATAATTATGTAGATTCAGAGCCTAATCAAGTTCCGGAATCATTGACAAGTAAGATCGATCAAGGGGAAAGATAAAAGATTGAAATTGACTAGTGGGGCCAGGTGAGTGCATACAAGTTAGTTTATGATGTTTAACGGAAATAAGACTTGCGACAAGTCTATTTCCTATATTAGAAGGTCTGAATGTATGATCATATGCATATGTTTGATTTGGGTTTATGTGATATATATATTATAGTATGTATTAAATGATTTGTGTGAATGCATGCAGTGTGATAAGTTATAGGAATTAATATGAATGATCTATATGATTACATGAGAATGTGAAATAGGTTATATGATAGGTGACCATACATGTTAAATAGTAAATGTGATCAATTATAAGAATCAATATAATAGATTTATATGACTACAGGAGAAGGGTGATGATTAAATAAGATTAAACTATAGAGTAATATAAGATAATATATTAGTGAAGCGAATTGAGTATAAATGATGATGTCAAACTATAAGATAAGTATTATAGAAAAAGAAGTATATTTAAAGAGAATTATGATATAGGATTTAAGTAAAATTTAACTAAATAAATAGATTAAACTGGTATAAATGGAAAATGAGATAAGTTAGGTAGCATTTACCTAGGAGATAACATAAGATTATATGAATAAGTAGCATAAATGACATAAAGAAAACTTATGTGTTATATGATTTAAGCATTGAAATGAACAAAAGATATAATCAGGTGAAGTTATTCGGTGATATGAGTATATGCCATTATTATACGGTTTAGATAAAATACTATACATGAATAAATGTGATTGTGTGAGAAATGATAGAAACTATATGAGAACATGTATATGTGAAAGTAATCTATGTGATTATATGTTATATGAATACAAGAACCTGAGATATGTAACATGTGAATTATATGGAAATGATCTACGTGTAAGTGAACTATGTGACTATGTGATTATATGAAAATGTGATAATGAGCTATGTTCAAAAACTATGAGACTACGTGCCCAGGTAATATGAATATGTGAACATGTGAAATGACATAAATGATAATGCCAATGTTATGTGTCATGAGAGCTAGGGGTATAGTTGGCATGAAAAGAGTCGAGGGTCTACGCTGTAACACCCCAACCCGTATCCGCCCGGATACGAATCCGAGGTGTCACATTGACCTTTTAAAAACACGTACTTGTATAAAATAGTGAGTAATTTAAAACTTTTATAACATATAAATGACTAATTTACATAAAGACATTTTTATTATTATAAAACCAATCAGAGCGTGTATATTTCACTTATTTATTTACATATAACTATTCAAAACATTATAAACTGTTCATAGCTTAAACAATATATTCTTTTGAAAACATGCCAACTAGAACTTTATATACTAAAATACATATTATTCACCTCTTTTCTGATCTGACCTTTAGTAAGGAGAACTGACCTGACATTGCTCTTTACTCTTCTCAAAACCTATGTGTAAATCACTTACACGCTAAGTCAAAGACTTAGTGAGGCAATAAACATATAAGGTAAACTGTAACTAATTATACATAAACAATTACTACTATCATTTCATACAACTCATACTTTTACATGTAACAATATATATACATACATATATGTCATTATCATTCATATCTCTTATCTCATGTTCCTATGATCTCTTATGTCCATATCATATATCTTATAGACTTATTATTATATCATCATTTCAATCAATTATATTCATTCACATATACCTTAACATGTACTCATGTATATCATATAACATATACCATATATACTATCATAAAATACGTACACCCAGGCAACTATAATATCATCTTCATTTTTATTAATATTATCTATTTAATAGCCCATGATACACATGTGAGAACTAAAGATATGCGAGTACATAGAGGTTGTGCACTAATGCTGTCACCATAGCTCATATAATTGCACCGAAGTGCCACATATAATTGCACTGGAGTGCCGCGTAGAATTGCACCGTAGTGCCATATAATAATGTCCATAAGGACCACATATCATTCCTTAAGAATCATATACATATACTAGGGATCAAGTATGTGTCTCACCAGACTTCACACATGTTCCAAAGAATACATATATCCCGAAGGACCACATA